GATGTCTTCATTAAAATGGACCACTTTCAGGTTGCCGTATTCACGGCTTGGCAAGAAAACGCGTCTCCATAAATTTTCTGGGGGAGACAAATTCCCCGACGGTGCGTTTCATGACTTCGGCACTCGACGGTGACCGTTAAGGTACGTCGAAAAACATCTTATGAGATTATCGCTGGTCTTGTCGGAAAAATGCCATTTTAAATTTGACAGTGATTTTGAAAGAAATGCCCTGCGCCATACATGTGAAAATTACATTTTTATACGCCCACAATGAAATGTGCTCGTATATTGTCGTCTCCCCCGTCCGTCGGTCCGGCGTCCACAATTGCTTTTGGACACTCTAGAGGCTAAAGTTTATATCCGATTGACTTTAAATTTATACACAGTGTTTAAGGTCATGCGACAAAGAAGCCCATTGATTTTCTGATAATTACTGCCAGAGATATGGCCCTTGATCGCTTCAAAACATCTTGTGGACGCTCTAGAGGTCAAAGTTAATATCCGATTGACTTTAATTTATACACAGTGTTTAAGGTCATGAGACGAAGAAGCCTATTGATTTTCAGCGACTTCCAATAATTACTTCCAGAGTTATGGCCCTTGATTACTTCCCAAAATATTTTGGGCGCTCTAGAGGTCAAAGTTAATATCCGATTGAGTTTAAATTTGTACACAGTGTTTAAGGTCATGAGGCGAAGAAGCCTATTGATCTTCAGCGATTTTCGATAATTACTGCCAGAGTTATGGCTCTTGATCATTTCAAAAAATCTTGTAAATGCTCTAGAGGCTCAAGTTAATATCCGATTGACTTTAAATTGATACAGAGTGTTTGAGGTCATGAGACGAAGTAGAATCATATTGATTTTCAACGAAATCCGATAATTACTGACAAAGTTATGGCGCTTGATCACTTTGAAAAATCTTGTGACCCTCTAGAAGCTAAAGTTATCATCCGATTGACTGCGGATTCAGAGACGAACAAGTATATTGATTTTTCAATGAAATTTTATGACTTGAACATCTAAATCCATGGTGTTAAAAGTTTCCTATACTAAACGTTAGCATAGGGCAAAACTCTATAAAAACCAAACAAATTCTAATGGTTTTCTGATAATTACTTAATGAGTTATTACTCTTAATAAGATTTTAATGTATTACAAATGTTTCATTACCGAAAAAGTAAAAATATATGACAACTCTTGTTGACTGCCCGGACGATTTAGCTACTGTGGGCGTATGTTTCGTTGCTCTCTATAACCAGTTTGAAAAAATATATTTATTCCCCGCCTCTTAAACACACTGATTACGAAATATCGCTCTCCGATACTTCCTGGTTTATTTTGCAATTTGTTTGGGGTAAGACGTTATCACTCCCAGCCTATGTATAAACAATATCAATCTGTCTAATATATAAACCACACAAATTTAACAGATACAAATGCATGTTATTCCACGTGTAGACAGACAGGGCCTCCTTTGAAGGAGCTCAGTGAAGGGGACGCAGTTGGTTTAAAGTTTGTCTGACCCCTTTGAATATTTGCGCCCCATCTCCAATGAAAACAATCATGTTGCTCAGATGCTGTTCTCAACCAGTATCAAACATATATCGTACCTGAGATTTGTTACAAATCGCCTCTAGCATGTTCCACACAACCCAACATTTATCGGCACCAGGATTAAGGGTATATATCTTTGTTTCTAACGTTTATTGGACATACGTCACGGAAACTACAATAAAAACCTGTTTAGAAAAACATTCTAAAGAGTGAAAACTGACATATTTCAAGCTTCACTGTATTTAAAAAAATAATTTAGATGAGCCGACTGAAACCCCATCTCTGCTGTTTGATCAATCAACTAAAAAGATATATAATGTGATTCGGCTGTAAGGTGTATGCATATATGAAGCATAGCTGAATAAATTATATGATTTATTGTCAGTAAAACATCTATTGGTGGTTAACAGTATGTAACTAAAATCTAAAATTGGATCTTTATTATTGCCAATGATTTAATGTACCTTGAATTTTCTACACGAAGTCTACCCTCCGATTTATGTTGGTGCCATTAAGTATTTTCAAAATTTATCTTCAAATTTAGAGACATCGAAAACCATATAAAAGACATAGCAAAAGTCATATCCTACGTATCTTACGAGATGCCCTTTTATTACCAAATTTATGGGTATTTTGAAAGAAATGCCCGGCACCATATGAAAAATACATTTCTTTAATTGATGTTTGTCAAATACGATTTTTCCGCACATTTCGCGTGCATAACCACGATATATAGCATTATAATATTACCAAATTTGACAGCCATTATGAAAGAAATGCCCAGGTCCCTGTTTCACAAAAATTTAAATCTCCTTCAAATCGTCTTAAACTAAAATTCCATCCTAACTTAAGATAGATGCGTTTCACAAAACGATTTTAAGCATTTTAGATAAAATCCATTAAAATAATATTTTAAGTTAAAATTTTATCTTAACTTATAATAGTGGCGTTTCACAAAACTATTTTAGGGGATAATATTGCCAATGGCCTGGGTCACATCATTTTAACATACTATCATTCACAAAAATAATTCTCATTCAATTTATTTTCATTGCATGGGAAATATATTGTATGGCAATATAAGCAATTAGATGACGCCCAAAATTAAAACCCAAAGATAAAAAAAAACCCAGTAAACTAAACTTTTTTATTGCTATTTTATATATTACCATATCTAATGTCTATACAAAATATCTTTGTAGGCCTACAATTGTTTAAAATTGCCAATAAGGCCTACAGTCCTATAATACTAGACACGCCATATATGCAAAGTATTTACTCATGGTTTTGGGGTTATGATGATTTGTAAAATATAATCTATAATCTCAAATGTGTTTATTGAAAATTTTTAAAGGCCTATTTGAAATTAAATTTGAATATCTTGAATTTATTATTATTTCTTAAATCAGAAAAGTTTTATATATAAGGGTATTTTATATTAGGGGAAAATCATTTTAATTCAGTAAGATAGATAGGCATTATCCAATAAGGAGTGTGGCACTTTGGTATTTTAAAAATAGAGGCCTATTGAAATGGTCCATGGGACTGACATTTCGAATCTAGGCATCGGAACATTGGATATTTCGTTTATTAGTTTAAAAGTTGTTAAATACTTTTAAAATTCGACAATAAATTACAGTCTAGATTAATCGTTTGAGTCAGAAATACCACATGTTTGTGACAATTCTCAATAGTTTCTGTTATCCAAAATACCATAAAACTACGAAATTCAAGCGATTTAGTATGGATACCCATTATTTCCATAGAAGCCTGCGAGTAAAGCAAATGCCAAGGTCACAAAATCGAAAGCAAGTTCAAGGCCAACCTACCGCTACATTTCAAAATGAATAATACGCAATAAACTTATTTATTTCATCTCTCTACGACTGTCTGGCCATGTGCAGGCATTATACAACGTATGAAACTCTCCTCGTTGGTATTGTAACCGTAACTACAACCTGGCAACAGTTTTCAGTTTCGAAGCGTTTATGCTTACACCCTAAGTGTCATCGCCGGAATTGTGCACTGTGCGGGCGCAAGCAATTTTAACTAAAATCTATAAAAATTGCATTTTAAGTTAAAAAGAAACCATTTATCCTCCCACCAGTAGATAGTAAAACACACTGATTACGAGATATCGCTCAAATGCACTTGAAAAAAAGCCGCGTTCTTACTACGACCTGTGTGGTTATTATACTGCGTTCCCAAGGTGCGCCCGTCATGCTTATAGCGTTTCTATGGGATCTACTGACTTGGCAACGTTGATCATCGGGGAACCCGCGACACACTAACCACGCTCATGGGGTTCTTACACCGTAACATCGCCATGACAACGCCATAGGGACTCCAAACGCTTGTCGGAGTCGTGGTGAAGACGCCATGAAGTTTCCGTTGCTTTTACCACGCTTATGGCGATCATTTTCAATCGCCGTAGCAGCGCAGTAAGGACCCCAATCCAGTCTGACGGGGGGATAAGATCATCATACCGCCTTCCGAGACAGACCTGTGATCAGGTCGGGTAGACATAGGTTTTGATCGTGTGTAACGTTTAAATACCTATACGATAGTTGGCTGTATTGTTATAGAAAATATTATATAAAGATATTTTGAATTTTCGAAGGATTTTGAAGATTTTATACACAACGCAATGTGAGGTTCTACTGTGACACCAGGTAGTGTCTCATATACGATTTGTTGTCACATCGTGTGACACGGTGTCACCAATAGAACTAGATAGTTGGACAGCTATATTTCCGGCGTGGTTCTCCCTTGTCAGTGATGCAGGGCGGAGGGGCTGACAAGGAAAGCGAACGAAAAACCGAGGTCCCGTGTACACATTGGCGTGCACGTAAAAGATCCCTTGGCAGTTGGAATTCGATATAAGAGTAGGGCGTAGTGCCGCTGTCCGGGCAAAATTTCCCTCATAGCACACTGTATGACGTATGCCCGTCTTCATTAGCCCAGGTTAGGAGCAGAACAGTAGGACGTTAAACTCCATTTCATTTCATTTCATTTTGGGCAGCTATATCTCTTTTTGGTTACCGAGGTTCTACTGTGACACCAGGTAGTGTCTCATATACGATTTGCTGCCACACCCGATCTTCGTAAAACGCACAAAATTTAAAATTGCATTTTGATTTTAGTTAAAATCTATTTTAGGGATTTTAGTTTAATTTTTTGTGAAACAAGGCCCAGCACTATATGAAAAATATTTTTTTTTAAATTGATATTTGTCAAATTCGATTTTTCGGCACATTTCGCCTGCATAACCACTCTGTGTTTGAGGAATTTAAAAAGAAACCATTTATCCTCCCACCAGTAGATAGTAAAACACACTGATTACGAGATATCGCTCTCAGAAAATTTTCAGATTTTGAGTTTGATTTTGTCTGACATATTTATCACTGAACCAAAACTGCATTGCTTTCTTTTGCATTTTTATAGGGTAAAACGTTATTCCTCAACACCTAACACTGCAAGAAAAAAAAAGAAACGTTTTGGTAAGTAAACCTGTATGACGCCATAGCTTTTATGGCGTCATAATTGGGACCCAAAATGGTGCCTGGAAATGAGTTGTCGTAACTTTCCCTATATAGAGCTTTGATTAAATGGCAATGACGTCATAGTTTGGTAATGCAAATATGATCTTCTATGCTACAAAAATGGACACACTTAAAGGACAATATTGCTGTCAGTCGGAAGTGACGAACGCCAAAGGAAAACACGAGTTATCCCTCTATATAACTGATTGAAATGACGAGCGATAACACATACACGGCCAAATTTCTGTTCACTAATAATTCCAAAAGTTGTCATATTGATCTGTAAGAGGATATCTGACAATTTAATAAAATAATTGAATGTCATTAGATAAGAGAACACGAGAAAAATAGAAATAGTCCGTACATTCCCTTATTTTTATACATTCTAAACCTTATAAAAACAAGGTAATGCACGGACTTTTCTGTTTTTCATTCATGTTCTCTTATCTAGTGGCAGTCAATTATTTTGATGAATTGTCAGATGGGGTTTAACGTCCACTCGACACAAACTAGGTCATTTCGAGACTAACATATGGTTTAATTTTATTTCAATAATTTGCTTGCGCGCGTAGGGGTCTTTAGCAGTGGGAGTAAACCGGAGGACCCGGAGAAAACCCACGAGGTTGGACAGGCGACCCTACTCCTTGTCACGTACAACCAGTTCCATCACTTATGTGATAATGACTGACACCAATATTGTCCTTTAATCCACCCATTCCTCCTTAGTTCCCATAATAATAATAATAATACTTTATTCAGTGATACAAGGTCATAGACCCATAGTACATAGAATATAACATACATATATATATATGTCTATAATAAATATTATTATTCTGTTATTGAGTTAGTACAATGTTTTCAACCAGATAATCACTGCGTACCTTTAATAAATCTTCTTCCAGTAAATCAAATCCGTCGATTTCCTTATGTATAGGTGAACATTCAGGTGCGATATAAACAACACCAAGCACAACATCTTCATTCAAGCCGAAAAAAGTTCTGTCAAATTTAAGGAATATTTTTTCACGAAATTTGTAGCTTAGTTTCAGAATACCACATGCTATTCTATGTTGAAATAAAACACATATACCACCCCTATTACGCCCACTATCCCTCACACACCAAACTGCAGAGTAATTTGAGAAAATAGACACTAAATCGGCCTCGCTGCCACACCATATTTCTATGAGACATATCACATCAAATTCTAATAAATACTTCAGAAAATCTTTATCTAATAATTTGCTTTTTAGTCCGTTAACATTCCAGCAGACACATTTTAGTTTTCCAATTACAGTGTTGTGACAGTCGTTATTGTCATTGTTTAACAAAGCCTATCATCAAAAACAGGTGTGTGACTGGTCTGACCTACATATCACTGATTTTGAAGTTGCTCTAGGGAGAATAATTTGCCGTCGATTTCAAGTTTATCATATTTTAGTCCCGCTGTTTTACCACCTTGGTAGCTTCTGTGCAGGTGGCCCATCAGGTACAGAAATTACCTGGTCGAGTCCGTCTATGACTCCTTTATGTGTCCTCTTTAGAGTGCAATAAGAGTTCTTTAATACCCCCGTTAGACCGGGGTGGTGTCCTCGCTGTGCTGCTGTGACCGTATGGCAACCAGAAAGTGCACAAATGCCGCGTTCTTACTACGACCTGTGTGGTTATTATACTGCGTTCCCAAGGTGCGCCCGTCATGCTTATAGCGTTTCTATGGGATCTACTGACTTGGCAACGTTGATCATCGGCGAACCCGCGACACACTAACCACGCTCATGGGGTTCTTACACCGTAACATCGCCATGACAACGCCATAGGGACTCCAAACGCTTGTCGGAGTCGTGGTGAAGACGCCATGAAGTTTCCGTTGCTTTTACCACGCTTATGGCGATCATTTTCCATCGCCGTAGCAGCGCAGTAAGGACCCCAATCCAGTCTGACGGGGGGATAAGATCATCATACCGCCTTCCGAGACAGACCTGTGATCAGGTCGGGTAGACATAGGTTTTGATCGTGTGTAACGTTTAAATACCTATACGATAGTTGGCTGTATTGTTATAGAAAATATTATATAAAGATATTTTGAATTTTCGAAGGATTTTGAAGATTTTATACACAACGCAATGTGAGGTTCTACTGTGACACCAGGTAGTGTCTCATATACGATTTGCTGCCACATCGTGTGACACGGTGTCACCAGGAGAACTAGATAGTTGGACAGCTATATTTCCGGCGTGGTTCTCCCTTGTCAGTGATGCCAAGATCCCTTGGCAGTTGGAATTCGATATAAGAGTAGGGCGTAGTGCCGCTGTCCGGGCAAAATTTCCCTCATAGCACACTGTATGACGTATGCCCGTCTTCATTAGCCCAGGTTAGGAGCAGAACGGTAGGACGTTAAACTCCATTTCATTTCATTTCATTTTGGACAGCTATATCTCTTTTTGGTTACCGAGGTTCTACTGTGACACCAGGTAGTGTCTCATATACGATTTGCTGCCACACCGTGTGACACGGTGTTACCAGAGAGTTGGACAGCTATATCTCTTTTTGGTTGCCGTGACTAAAAGGATTCTTTAACACGCGAGTGGTATTTCTGTCTACATGTTGCTATGACATAGGATAGGTGTTGCCGTAGTATCATTCTGGGGCCTGATATTTGTTTGAGTTGAATATAATTAAACTTCAATTGTTTTAAAGACAATTCAGACCAGATCGTACCCATGGAAACAAACAAAGAGTACTATTTTGGCGCCTCATCTTTATTAGCCAAATCGATTTAGAAACATGCGTTAAACCCCATTTCATTTCTATTTTGATACACATACTGCTATTATTAGGTCATTGAGCACACCTGAGAATCAAAAGACTTCCGTGTAGAATTGGCTGTCATATACGGAAATGATAAAACCATAAAAATAGTATATTTGGCTTATGTAAGCATAAAATGATATGAAATGGGCTTTCACGCCTTACTATTCGGCACCGACTGGGCTAATGAAGACGGTGGGGGGGGGGGAAACCTAATTTGACTATTATTAAGTTAGAAATCATTCATTTGCGTTAGGTTAGTCTATGTATAATATGGACAAAACCCGGGAAAGACTCCGAGAAATCATATCCTATAATAACTGCCAAACTAAACCTTTAGCTAAAACAATAACTGGGGGTCTTAAAGTATGCCAAGCCTCATATAGCATTTGGTGTAGATCACTTCGTAAATACACTGTTATTGACAGCTTTTTGTTATATATTTGACACAGATAAACCAATTATATAGCTACGTAAGAAAAAAAATTAGTAGACATAATTGTGAATTAATAGAAACGTTTGGCTTTTCTTATTCATTACGAAAGCCCAGAAGGCTCATTCCAAATTCCAAATTCATGTCTTACCAATAAAATAGCAAATTGGCAGCCCCCCACTTAAACAAATTGTAATCTTACACAACTAATTAGTGCTAGTTTACCTATCTGATGCCTGGACCGGATAAACACCCGTTCCAAATTAATAGTTTCGAAATTCCAAATTAGGCATAATCACGTGACATTAAAATCATCACGGCTGCCGCAGAGAAGATTAGTGTCCGTCTGTCAGTCTGTCCGTTACACTTTTTGGGACACAATAACGTTCTTTCTTATTGGGCTAGAACGCTCAAACTTGGTATAGGTGTTTTATTAGATCAATGTTTAGGGTAAGCAGAGAAAAGCAACTTGATTGGTTGATGCGTTGGGACACGATAACTTTAGTTCTAATTAAGTGCGAGTGATGAAACTTGGTGCATAGTTTCATTACATCAATAACTTACCTAAGTTCGATAATGAGTATTTTCTGCCCAGGGAAGGCAAAGCGATATGCAATTTGATTGGTCGAGGCTTTGGAACACAATAACTGTTCTTCTAATTCAGGTAGAATGTTCAAACTTGGTGTAGGCGTTCATTGGGTCAATGCCTTGATCTAGTTCGATGATAGACATTGTCTGCTTACGGTAAGCAGAGATAAGCCATCTGATTGGTTGATGCTTTGGGACACGATAACTTTGGTTATAATTAAGTGAGAGTATAGATACATTATATCCTTACCTTGACCAAGTTCGATGATGAGAATTTTCTGCTTAGGCTAAGGAGAGATAAGTAATTTAATTGGTCAAGAGAGATAAGTAATTTAATTGGTCAAGACTTTGGAACATAACAACTCTGCTTTTAATTGAGGTAGAATGTTTAACTTGATGTAGATGTTCATTAGGTGAATGTCTTGACTGACTTCTAAGGAGAGTTTATCGATTTCATTGGTCGATGGTTTGGGGACAAGACAATCTTGATTTTATCTGATAGAATGATGAAACTTAGTGTATAGTTGATAATTGCTTGATAATGTACTTTTGAAAAAAAAAAAAAATGTGCGATTAATTAATATGGGTCATCTATTTTTTTTTTTTGGGGGGGGGGGGATTTAGGTGGGGGACATCAGCTTGTTGGCTTGTTTTTGACTTACTGTGTCGACAGTCGGAGGCAAAATCGACCATATCTCTATTTAAGTAGTTTTCGACGAAGACAGATTGTCGTCCCATTGAACAAATCAACATATCTAACGAAATCGGCAATAACAAGTTTAACGTTTAATAATTGGTATTTTCAGGTTAAGGATTGAAAGACTCAGAAAATGCGTCCAAAACGACTTTGTGCTATACTCTACTATACTGGTGCTATTTTTATGATTTATCAAATAATAAGTTATATACACATGTGGCAAGCTGTTCAGCCAATTCATCAGAGCTTTAACGAATTATTTAAAAAAGAGATATTACATAAATATGACCTTAGCAATGTTGCAACGGATGAGGAAATGAAGAAAGTTTTAAACTTAATATTACTTAAATATGCCTTAGATTCAAAATCGAAGAATGATAGCCGTAATGTGCATCCGGTCTTGAATCCAGTAATAAATGACAAAACTGTGAATCCAGTAATAAATGGTGCTAATCCGATATTTAACGGCGATTATTTATTAAATAATATGGGTGTATGTCCAGATAATTTAACGATTATCGTAGTCGTTCATACCGCTCCAGATCATTTCATCCGTCGACAAAATATTCGTACAACGTATGGTTCAAGTACTATGTTCTTACCGGTCAACATTCGAACTGTGTTTCTTATAGGCCGAGTGAAAACGGCGGAAAAACAAGCTGTGATTATATCGGAGTATTCTCGATATGGCGATATAATTCAAGGAAATTTTATCGACGCTTACCATAATTTAACATATAAAGCAGTTATGGGTCTTCACTGGGTATCACATTATTGTTCACAAGCAAAATATGTCGTAAAAGTAGATGACGATCTAGTGTTTGATATGTGGCGATTTTTAAACATGTTCCATGCCCGTAATCACTTTATCTCGAAATCAATATACTGTTATGTTCGAGTTAAGGGTAAAATTCATCGTAAAGGCAAATGGGAGGTTCCTAAAGAAATGTTTAATGGTTATGCATCCTATCCGTTTCAACACTGTATCGGATTTACGGTTATTTATAGCGGAGACATTATTCCGGCATTATACCGTGCTTCATACAAAGTACCCTTCTTTTGGCTTGATGACGTGTACGTAACGGGTATGTTAAGAATCGCTGTCGATGGAATCCATCTAAATCAACACACACAAGATAATCTTTTACGTCCAACTTTAGGAGGGTTAAAATGTCTACAAGAACAAGGCAGAAACTGTACTTACTTATCTATGGGTGCCACAGAGGGCACATTTAATGCCACGTGGCTAGCTATAAAGCGTAGGAGTCACAACTCTCTTAAAAAAACTTAAAAAGTGTCCCGACAGCTTTACTCGATGGTATAGATATCTTGATAACCACGCGTTGTAATCAAAACAAAGTGCCATCATTTCGATCGTTTGAGTATGGGCAACGAAAAACATCAACAGAAGACAATTACAAGGTTTCGAGTGTATCGTTAATTCCCTGTACATATACGTTGAATCTATCATGTTATATATCATATTAAAGATACTCATGGGTAAAATTTAAGACCCGTAAAACGAATGTCATTGTTTTTGTGTCGTATTTGTGTTCAAAAGAAAATTCATTCACCCGACTCTAATCAAAAATATGATTAAAACAAAATATTTTAAATGGTAAAGCTATAAACTTTGCAGAGATTTTACTAGAATGTAAAAAAATGGTAACACGATAAAGGAATACGGGCAGTTATGTGTGTGAACGCCCAAACTCAATACCGAGCCGAGACTTATAGCATATTCTTATACAAAACTTGAATTGTCGTAAAGTTACCGCAACCATGGCATGCTGCAACCCTTTTATACGAAATGATCTCTGTCGAAGAGTAACGTAATCAGCTTCAGCTTCCATTTTAGAATTTTTCGATGTCAGAAGTTTATCAGAATTCAATTTAAAACACTCAGATAAGTTTATAATAACCAAAGTTATGTAGTTTTTTCATAATCGATGAAATCCGTTTAAAACTTTCGATGGTTCAGACAGTAGTTTATCCTTTCATCATAGTATAATATGGGTAGGTAAATAATGTCCTTATTTGTTGGGGAGCCATGGTGGATAAGACGTTGGCTCGCTGGCTCCCGGTGTTGGCCGAGAAACTTCATTGTGATTTTCCGGCGTGGTTTCTCCTTGATGAACTATCTCGGCCCAAACCGGGAGCGAACCCGCAACCATTTTAGAAAGGCGCGCACAGACTATATATTTGTAATTTACATGTATATTTTATATAATAATTGTAATTTAAATTTGATGCATATGCGTTATGTTGTTTTTTTTTGTATTGTACATGTTTTATTTTATTCATGTGGAATTTTTGTACTGATGTTTCTTAAAAGATAAAAGTCTTGTATTATTCAAAGTTTAAAGGCAGTTTTGATAATTTTAATGCTATTTGTATTATATAAATAAAATATTGGTGCGATGAAAATAAAGTTAATTGGTGTTTAACAAATGTGTACACGTGGCCTCGGTTTTTGACCCACTCGAACGACTATTCGTTGTCCCTAGCAAGACCATCCGCCCTCCACCAGCGACAAAGGGGAACCACGCCAGAAAATATCGAACTTCAGAAGGTAGGTAAAAAAAGACTTTTGTATAGTTGCATGCGCTATGAGCACGATTTGTGGATTTGGCGCTATATAAATGGACATATTATTTTTGTCCCCCGCCTATCGAAGAAAGCAGGGGACTATTAAAACGGGTTCGCCCGTCTGTCTGTCTGTCCATCCGTCTGTCTGCCTGTCACACTTTTTGGGACACAATAACTCTCTTTCTAATTGAGCTAGAATATTCAAACTTGATGTAGGTGTTTATAAGGCCAATGCCTCGATGGAGTTCGAAGATGAGCATTTTATGCTTAGGTTAAGCAGATATAAGCGATTTGATTGGTTGATGCTTTGGGACACGATAACTTTAGTTATAGTTTCATCACATCAATACCTTACCTAGTTCGATAATGAACATTTTCTGCTTAAGGTTAGCAGAGCGATAGGCAATTTGATTGGCCGAGACTTTGGAACACAATAACCCTTCTTCTAATTGAGCTAGAACGTTCAAACTTGGTATTGGTGTTTATTATGCAAATGCCTTGATGGAGTTCGAATATGAGCATTTTCTGCTTTGGGTGAGCAGAGATAAGCAATTTGATTGGTTGATGCTTTGGAACACGATAACTTTAGTTGTAATTAAGTGAGAGTGATAAAACTTGGTGTATAGTTTCATTACATCATTACCTTGACTAAGTTCGATAATAAGCATTTTCTGCTCAGGGTAAGCAGAGCGATAAACAATTTGATTGGCCGAGACTGTCCTTCTAATTGAGCTATCAGCTAGAACGTTCAAACTTAATGTGGGTGTTTATTAGGCGAATGCCTTGATGGAGTTCGAAGATGAGAATTTTCTGCTTAAGGTAAGCAGAGATAAGCAATCTGATTGATTGATGCTTTGGGGCCAATAACTTTATTTTAATTAAGTGAGAGTTATGAAACTCTGAGTATAGATTCATTATATCATTACCTTGACTAAGTTTGATGATGAGAATTTTCTGCTTAGGATAAGGATCGATAAACAATTTGATTGATCAAGACTTTGGAACATAACAAATCTGCTTTTAATTGAGGTAGAAAGTTTAAACTTGATTCCATCCCGAAGTGCATGTGTGAAATTATTTACCACAAAAACAGAAGAAAAAACAATAGTAACAAGGTTTTTGGGGTTTTTTTTATTAATCAAAATTCGTCATCGCGATTCATGTTTGTTTATAATAATGCATGAATTATGGGACTTATTTCGGGAAGGGGCGCAACTCTTACTTGACTTAACGAATATACGGACACAGCTCACCAAATAGTGATCTGTGGCCATACTGAATAATCAACCACACAGAAAACCAAACTACCGGTTACGCATGGGCAATGAAACTTTGCGTCAAATATTGACAACGGTCTGAGACCCTCCGTACGTTGAAGACTAGGGGGTTCTGGATGACCGAGACTACGAGTAGGATGGTTTGACTTTTATTAGAATCGAATGGATTTTGCGAATATTCATGGTTGTGAGGAAAGATAATTAAAAAGTTGAAATATAGAGCAGGCAATTACATGCACAATTTGGGACTTTAATAATGAATAATACTGAACATGCAATTCATTTGTAAAGAACACAACATGACAGTGTTTAATACATTTATTATGTAAACATGTGGTTATCAGTAACATATAAATAATACTTGTTAAAGCTCATTTATCCTTCATTATCAGAACAATATGCGAAGGTACAACAATGTAGAAAGAATGGGGCGACAAAACGACTGATAGCTAAAGAGGGTGTTAGGCGGTGTCAGTATAATAGGTGTTAGTGTGCAAAATGTCTAACATGCACCATGAAAGATAATTTTAAATTATATACCACAATATAACATAAAACGTCCATCCACCCATAAAAGTCTATCTATAAAGTACAAAGCTCGAATAAATTTTAGTGTAGCAACTGATTATTCGCTTTCTACTTCGATTTACTTTGCCGTACCTTAATATTATTATTATTATTATTTATTATTATCATCATTTATATAGCGCACGCTTTCACAAAATGTGTTCAGATGCGCTGTACAATATACATTACATCCAAAAAAAAAAAAAAAAATCAGTTGAAAGGTGTAGTGCCAACGACAATTTAATAAAATCACTCCGGGGATTTTTTCATGAAGGAGGATGAAATGAAAAACCGGAATGTGAATCCATGTAACAACTCACAGCTGAATAACACAATAGTATACATGATCAAACAAACTATGTACATTTGGGCAATGATCGAGCCCTAGAGTATAGGATATAACTGTACATGTATATGGTTATACTATGAATTACATTTTTTTTAGAATATATGTATAATTCAAGTGTTTATTTATTAACAATGTACATATGTTTATGTATTAACAGGAATAATATTAATAAAATCGAACAATACAAAATTATGGTTGATCTGATAAGTGGTTATTTGTTGATATCTAACAGTTTAGTATTAGTGTGTATAAATATTGCAATATTGAAGTTTTTATTTCACAAGATATATCTATTCGACTGCATTGTAAAATACACTGCTTTTGTGCACCATCCGCAGACATATTTGTTTTGGGGTTTCAATGTTGACGGAGTTATGTTCTCTTGGTTATTTCAAATTATTGATTTATTTTCCGATAAGAATGAACCATCACTACCATTCGGGACTATTCGTTAAATTCGGAATTTGCTATCTGATGAAATTGGCTCCATGCTTCGATTGAATTTAAGATTTCCGAGCATGCGCAACGCAGCTCAGTTTTGGATCGGCCATTCCTGTGTGCTTAATTTTGATGTGTGCAGTCCAATTTAAATTTATTTAAGTTTTTGTAGATATATTAGACCAATATATTTATATTTTCTGTATACCCATAGGTCTATTTATATTGGTATTTATATGTGAATGTGAATGTGCCTTTGTAAATTAATATTTGATGTCCCATTTAAGAAATAATGTTCGGAAAGTATGTATATTGACGAAAAGTTTCATGGAGTAATTAGAGTATTAAATAAATAATGACAGACTATTTTAATCAATCTAAATGAAAAATATGCAATAGCTGATCAAGTTATGTACATATTTAAGATGTACATGGACATTTTGTAGTTGGGTTTGAATAAATGAATACAAACTAGAAGATACATAATTAGGAACAAATTCAAATTCGGGAGGACGTTCCTTCTTGTAAGATAGCATTTACACAAGTATAAATATGCTGATTATATTAATATGTATTTCCTATAACTTTATAGGGACTGAAAGCGATCGATAACATTAACAAAAACACATCTCATCGTGACCAACGCCCTCTAAATCAACATGGCTGTATGTTAGATCTTCTTTCATAACGGTATGTCGTCTATTACAATACTCTTACATACATTTATATGTATAGTATAACATCTGTCTTTGCAGATATTTTTTATAAAACAGTCAATATTATCTTGTCAGCTATTATACGAAAGAAATACAGGTTTTCCCAAAGATAAATAGATTAAAAAATATGGTAATCAGCGCAGGTGTACTCACTTTATCAAACAAAGCGTAACTCAAATCTTACCACAAATTGATTGATAATAAATAATACATAGTCATTATTTACCAAACACAGATATGTAATTTAGAACTAATCTGTAATAAACATATATTCCAAATTGTTCCCCTTGGGACAAAAGTTTTACTTAGAGTATCTTAGGCAACTTTTCAAGCAAGATATCAAAGCAGATCTACAGTAGTAGGCGTATTTTATAAAATAAATTGCTATCCGAAAATTAACCGATTGGTTTAAAGAAAACAGTTATTAAATAATGAATTGTTAAAATACTGTGAGAAGTGTCGGAATGTCGGTCTGCTGAGACGTCTGGATTGACAAATAAAATGGTTTTAGAAACGAAGAATGAAGAAATTGTATTATTTTATAACCGCTGAAAAGGGGCATTGAAAGTTTCTTCCGGTTAGGTAGGATCAGCCAGGTCAATTAATTTTTGTAAATTTTCTTTTAAAACTGAAATCGAGTGTTCCTTACCGGCGACAGAAAAATAAAATATAGACTTATTGGAAACTTGCTGATTTAAAACATACCTACGAAACCGGAGCTGTGCCTTCAGTGCCTCTTTTATTTCCCTATCTGTAAGTTGTAAAAGCCCATTTTCCATACCCTCTTTACTTTTCCAAAGACCCACCCCGATAATTTCTGTTGTTAGGCGCTCTTTTTTCCTAATCTCACGTTTCCCCTTTTGTATTAATTCATTCTTTTTTGCCAAAAGAACCGCTAGCTTTTTTTTTTCGATTTCTTTCCGTCTTTGCCTAAATTTAGAAAGTTGATTTTTAGTTATCGTTTGAGCATCCATTAAGACCAAATTACGTTTATGAGGTGAAAGATTTTTTAGCCATTCATCAGATTTATTCATTTTATATAAAATGGACGCTTCGTTGCCAAAAATATTAGACGAGAGCGCGATCCTCATTAATCTATCGAGATGACTGAACACGGTTTCCGGTAATTTGTTGTGAGGCATGGCAGAACTCGAACACGTAGGATTAAAGTCATCTCGATACTCAAGTAAAATTTTTGCAATGTACTTTCTAAACTCGGCAAAGAGGACTTCCAAAATATGGATCAGGGTTGAATTAAAAGTTAAATCAGAATCAAATTTCGTCAGGTTAGCAAGGACCGAATCATTTTCAATTTTGATTAGAGATTCAAATGGGTGGGATTTACCTTCAACAAAGTTTCCAAAAAATCATGTAATTTCTGATAAATAGTTTTCATGTCAAGTGCATTAATGCCGCTTTCTAGTATGCGCCACAGTGGAGCTGTAATTAATTTATCTATCAAGCCCAAAGCCTGGCACTCAATATGAAAAAAGGAAATTTTAATATCTAAAAATATGCTTTGGGTCAATCTATTTCCTGTTCCAAAATCACCAAGAAAATTTGTTATATGCTTGGCCATATAATTTACAATTGCATTGCGGAAAATAATATTAAACCGGTT